AGTGTCGTATTTAACGACTCCGAGGGAGGTGCGATCGAGGCGGGCTTCATACAGGAGATACGACTGCAACGGCGCCGATTCAGCGGGATTTGCGGGAGCGACTCCGTCAGCGGGATTCCTGGATCCGATGGGTTCCCAGTATGATTTTGAGCCCTCATTTTTTTCTTCTTTGGGTATAACATGAAGGTCAACAATGGGATATGAACCTAGAAATAGAAACGATGTTGCAAATAGCTCTTTGGAGAAGGCCTTTAATTTGCAAATAAGAGAGAAGTTAGATGGTGAGATACTAAGAATGTTTTACTCTGGTTTCAATTTAGCAAGAAATCCACATTACAAAAATGCATTTACTTTTGCTTCCAATAATAACCTTGTAGGTTAAGTGCAACCAGGGTGTAATATCATTAGAATCAAGTTATTCCAAAGAGAGATGACAAACAATGAGAAGTTATTTGAGCCAACGAAAGGAGTGTGGAAAGAAAAAGATGTCATATTGAATTTGTATTCAATGATGATGATATTTTGTACTAAACATTTTATATCATAAGCAAAACAAATTATCATGACATTAATTTATTATTGTTTGTCATTTCTAATATGATGTTACATTAATTTATATACACTATATAAACAAAATTGTAATGTAATGTCGTGTCCGCGTCGTACCCATGTCCTATATTTTCAAAAAATGTCATGTCTCATTTCCGTGTCGTGTCCTATTCGTATCGCCGTGTCCATGTATGTGCATCATAGCTTGAATATTGCCCATTTGCAAACCAAGCTGTGTTGACGCATTCAAAACATTGAATTACATAGAATGACACCCATATTGGCCTATCCACGATACGAAAATGATATGTAAAAGTTGCTAGTGTGTGAGGCTACAACATGTAATTCGAGATGTTAACAACGAATTCTGATAAAGCGATATATGCATGAAAAATAATAATCTTTTTAATAAAGCTAAATTAAATTATATAAATATATTTATTTTATACAATTATGGAATATATATATATATATATATATGAAAAAAAATAAACTAAAATAAGAACTTTGAATCTGATTTCAATCAAACCCAAAAAATCTAGGTCCAGGCAATGCAGCAGCGCGTAATATCTAAACTTCCACTTCTCTTGTGTCAAATGTAGGACAAAAAAATATTAAAAATAAATGTTTAATGATAAAAATAATTTTGTTTTCCCTACCCCATTCACAAAATAGTTCACCCTCTCTCTCGCAATATCCTTCAAGCATATCGACTCATGTTCCCCTCATCTATTCTTTTCCCTAATCAATTACTCCATCCTCAGGCAACATCCGCCTCCCTAAGTCATTCACTCGTCACAGCTCCTCCCTCATCATCGATAAACAAGATCTCTAGTCTCACTCTAAGTTTTCTCACATGTGCGAGCCCTATACTTACCCCATCTCTCCCTCCATCTTCCACTCTCGCACAAAGCCAAGTTAGTTGCTACTCTTTTTCCCTACTGTCTACCACTCCCACACGTCACACCCATCAAACCCTCGCATACTCAACACACCTTTCTCTTACTCTTCTTCAAATCCATGTCTTTGCCTTTAGAACATCCTCGCCGTTAAACCTCTAGCTCAACAACTTGGCTCACAAAAACCTCTCCACACTCTGTTGATGTGCAGCCTCTTCCCAGATGACTACAATCCTAAGCAAAAAGCGCCCCTTACCAACCTTCTTTCAAACACATGTTAAACACGTAACCCCAAAGATTGCACCTGCACATTACTCCTTCACTTTCTCTCTCTCTCTCACTCTGCCTCTCTCTCTCTCTCCAGCCCACACTCCCTTTCTTTCGCTCTCCCTTTCTCTTTTGAAATAAAGGTGAGAAAAAAAAAACAAAGAATAAAAAATATATATTTGAAAAAAAACATATAACAAAGAAAATAATGTGTTATTGATACTTTCCCTTGAATGCTTGCCAAAAAAATTATTTTCCTCAACCACTTCCCAAGTATAATACAAAATCTCAAAATTAAGTGCCCATGCATGTTGTTCTAAGTCAACAAGAAAATTCACAAATTAAGTTTCATTATCCCAATGGGACGAGAAAATTTTATGCATTCTACCATGTAGGTCATAAAGGCGTATACACATTTTTTAAGCATGATGGGTCAAAAGACCCACCAACCACGATGTCTCCTGACACTGACCATGCATGTTTTGCTTGGTGGAAAGGCTTAACACCCTCGAAGACGCCCCTTACATGCAAAAAGAAGTCGGGTGATTGCTGAAATTTATGCTAGAATGGGAACCAAAAAGAATAAAAATAAAATAAATTTTAGAACATAAATGCAATAAAAAAAAATTTAATAGGGGTCTTGTTACATACTTGAAAGCTCGCTTACAAGCATGCACAAGACTTCCACACAGCTCCTAACACTATGAAATCTCTATAGGCTATGGACTCTATGTAAAAATGAACTACAAAGTGCTCCTATTTATAAGGGAAATAAGCAATTCCTTGAAGGGCCCACCACATTAAAATGCAAATGCATAAATACAAAAATATCACTTTATAAAATATCTAAAAAATCTCAACTCGCTTCTAAGACATCAAATCCACAACATATACAAGCAAGCAAACATAAGGCATTTTTTAAATTTTAAAAATAAATCTTTCTATGTACTTCATTGACAAATGATTGTGCAAATAATCAAAATTTGAATATTTTAAAAGCATGTGTGCATCACAATATAACTTTCCAATTTGAATGGAAATTGCCTCGAGAATTGTGCAATTGTATCAAGAAGCATATAACTACCTTGATAAGTGTGCACATACACTATGCAAATACACCATATAAATGGGCCAAGAAAGATGGAACTGCACCAAAATATGTGCAAGCGCAATGCAAATGCACTATGAAACGTGTAAGTGCACTTTGCTTATGCATTAAAAAGCATGCACAATATATCAAATCATCAAAATTCATATTATCCACATGTGTTCTGATAAATGTACTAATATAAAAACCTTGAGATCAGAATACTAATTGGCCGAAAAATGAAATGAACTCAAATATCTCCTGCTATAAGAAGCGTGCAATTGTCCTAAAAAGTTTGCAACTATATTTTTAAATTCACGAGCTCTTTTTTAAGCTCAAACTCGCCAGTATATACCCCGAAGAATTTCTAATACTTGAATTTAATGTCTAAAGATGTTGCACGGACCAAAAATAAGATAAATGCAAGTCCACCCTGCTTTGCCAGCCATGCAACTACTTTGTGAATCATGCAATCACTTTGAAATTTAACAAATTCTCTTCAAAAATCAAAGTTATCGATATGTTGCATGATGTTCTCAAACAAGCAACAATGCATAGAGGACAAAGTCATAAGTTCCACTTTCGAAGTCAACACCTATGTCAATCGCAAACCCAGTCCTTAATAGGCAAGCTAACAAAATTTTATAAACAAGAAAATTTACAATCAAATATCTGATCTCAATACTCATAAGGATATTATGCCCAACAATGCAACTACAAATGTCAATCACAAACCCAATCCTTAATAGGCAAGCTAATAGGTCAAGGTCAAAAGTAACAAAATGAAAGCGCTCAAGACCTCAATGAAGGTTATGTTAAATGCAAATATCAACCAAAAGTGGCCCTATTTTCATAATTCCCCAAAGCTCAAACAAAATCATTTGGTGCAAATTTCAATGAATATTTAAAAAAATCCAAAATCAATATAAAATTTATTACATTCAAGTAAAATATATCACCAATAACTTAAAAAAATAAATGTTCATCATCCATTATCATTTATTAATGGTGATAAATTTAAGAATAACCTGAGCTCACAAAAAGTCAATGTTTTGTTGAATGTATCACTATGTTCACTCACAAACAGTCTATTGTCAGTAAGGATGCGACATGTATCATCTAACCAATAACTATCAATTGATACCACGGGTAAATGGTTATGACCAAGGTCATCTGACAAGGTGATTTAATTGCAAAATTGCAACATTAAATTATGATCATTGCTAGAACCCATAAGTTCTCCTATGACTTTAAAACCTATGAGTAATGAATCATGAAACGCACATGATAGGACACAAAATCTTATGTTAGCTAAAGTCAATTTAAGTTCATCCCCTTAAATAAACATCCACCCTAGGTCTATAAGATTACTTTGAACAAAGCAAGTCATAGCAACTGACAAGGATCTCTATACCATGTTGGGTTGACTATCTCTGCTAAGCAAATCAGGAACTATGTCAACCCGAAGTGACAAAACTATAGGATCATGATCAGATTCATCATTATTCCCCTCGCCATCCACTTTAAACAAAGAAGCGATATATTTTACTCAATGCTAAAATCAATTTTTTGGTTACAATACACTAAGCACTTAGCACTTAATGACTAGAGCTAATGAAAAGTTCTCTCTCATCATCAAATGAGATAATTAACCATAAGATTTTGTGACTATAGAGAACCTAAAACTAAATTATAAAATCCTCGCAAAATGGGGGCAAAATATCTTATTAATAGCTTATGTTCAACCAAATTTGCATTTTGAAAATTTTGCACATAACATAAACTCTCCTAGAAGAGTTGGACGCAATTTGTTTTAAGCCCACAATTTTCTAGTCTCATTTTGATCCTTGGAAGTTGTTACATAATGTGTAGGTTTAGCTTAAAAATTGAATAATATGCATATAATGTATGCATATAGTGTATAAATTGTGAGTGTGTAAGTGACTAGAAGTCATTTTATTTTGCATTATTCATATTGAATAAAAAAAATAGCAAATGATCATTTGCCTTAGTAGTTTCATCCTCCTCTGGTTCACTGGTTAAACATAGTGGTTTGCACTCAAGAAAATTAATCACGAACCCAATCATGGTCTTCTATAATGGAACTATATTTATGTGACTGCCAAAAGAACCAAATTTCAATATTATAGAACCAAATTTCAAAGTATAATATTGAGCTTAATGGGTTGCATTTGCAGCGTATTCCGACATGGTGGAAATGGCTATATTACATTTGCCCAACTGCGTGGTCATTAAATGGTTTGCTTACTTCACAATATGGTGATCTCACCAACGAAATGATGGCATTTGGGAAAACCACAACAGTTGATGCATTCCTGAGAGATTACTATGGATTTGATCAGGACCAATTGAGCATAGTGGCAATAACAATGGCTTATCTTCCTCTTGTTCTTGCCTCTCTTTTCTCATGTTGTATACGGAAAATAAATTTCCAAAGAAGGTAGTCATATAGTATATATGATGTTCAAGGGAAAAGTCGTGTTCAAAGAGAAGGGAATCCCCATGTAGGCTGGCTTGCAAATCATCCATTAGTTGAGGTCAGTTCTTTGTAAACGCATAGATCAACATCACTTGTGAATGCTGAAGCTTGAGTACTATGTATTTTAGAGAGTATTATTATTATAGTTATCTAAGTTATATGCTTCCATATATCACAAAAATTGGTCATGTGCAAAAATGAGGTGCCGATCACCACCACTGGGCTAACAACTAAGGCTTTGAAATAAAGACAAGATCAAAAGTTAATTCAAAATTTTGAGTGCAAACCAGATCAAAGATAGTTGGAACTGCAATCACTACATCAGAAGGCATTTTTTTATTGATTGAATGCTCCCCACTATCATGATTGCCAAGAGATTTTTGTGATTAAATGCTCCCCACTATCCTAATTGCTAGGATATTTTTGCAATTTTAGGTGTGCCTTAAGGCATAAATAGCCTAAAGATTAATAGGTATTTTCAAATACACATGAATTGCTAATAAACTTTCCTTAGTTGATAAGAACTAAATTAGCAGTAAGGATTGGATTTTTCCAAAGAGAACAGGAAGAATGAATCATCCTAAATATTATGTGTTATCTGTTGACGATACAAAAAGATCTCTTTTTTAATCGTCTTTTGTTCACTTGAGTAAAGCAATAATTCTTATGATAATTCCTTTATTCCATGAAGAAAGACTCAATTTATCCCTAAGCATTGAAGGCCACTAGTCAGCAAACCAAGTGTACCTCATTGGGATCTTTCATCAAAAATATAGTCCTTTCTTCCACAAGTTTTGGAGGCACCAATTCCTCCCTTTAAGTTGTTGAAATCTTGACCAGATCCTTTTCCATCCTATCAAGTGTGAAGTGCAGGTTTTGCATCTGTGACAACTGCCATCTTCATGAATCTATCATTTGTCTTTCCTTCATGCGAACACAGCTTGCGAAGATACCAGAGATCAATCATTAGCCTTTTTTTTCTCTTTTACTTCTTCTAATCGTATGACCCACAAAGCCCAGTCTCACAACCATCATTATACTTCTTCTAACATTAGCCTTAGCATACCCACATAGTTCTTATCACCTTACTCATGAATATTTTCCCTCCTTGGCATGACAAGAAAAATAAGAAGAGTGAGAATAGGCTCACGGTCGAACCGTTGTCCTTGCCTGCCCGTCTCGCCTCACCCGCCCGCTGCCTATAGACACCTCACCTTTGTGGCTTGGCCCCTGTCCCACATGTCACGCCTCAATATCAGGTTTGACTTGATCCCGACCGACAACTTGTTTTTGACACCCATACATATTGCCCTATCTACCTCACAAAGTAAAACACAAAATTTACCTACATGCGAGCTGATAGCATGAAATTTGAGACACACAAGGAACAAAAATTTTCTACAAGGGGTTAATCCAAATATCTATTTTATCTTTTTATGTTATCTTATCTTATTTAATTAAAAATAACAACTTCCAAAAAAATCTTAATAAAATCTATTGCATCCTTACCCAACTAATCCCAATATCTCGGCCTCATACACCTCGGTACCGCATAAAATCATGTTCTGATCCCATCTCAGTCTGATTGTAATTGAAAAAACAAAACAAAAAAATCCCATCTCTCTCAATCTCTCCCCCACACTATCTCACATAGACCTCCACTCTCAATCCACAACTTCTCTCAAGTGACTTTAACTCAAGCCTGCCCGCTCTCTCTCGCCTCCCCTGCTACCCTTCACACAAACCCCTCTCCTTAGCTTACATCCATGTCCCTTCCTCCTACAGCTTGTTTAGCTCTCATTTCAACCTCTCCGGCTCACTTCTCCATCTAACACTTTTACCAAAAACCCTTTATAGCAAAAAGTGAGGAAACTGTGATGCACACTTGTTAAGGAGGCTCGACAGGGCTTGACAAAACTAATGTCTCTTGATGAAATTGAAGCAAGGAGTCACAATAACAGTGTGTGGAGTCACAATGTCCACTTATGGAGTTCTCTGTTGCCAAGGATGCCCATCTCCAAGCGCTTCTTAAAATCTCCCACAAGGCCACAAGCACAATAAGGAATGGCAAAATGAGCTTGAATCCCTATAGAACTGTTGACCTTTGCATAAAATCCAGAAGAAACAAAATTAAAAATCCTGCATACATAAACTCTTACCCGTCGGATCCAAGGATTCTGTCGCGAATCACGCCTATTCGGCGTCGTTTGCAGTCATCTCCCAGAAATCCTGCCCAAATCCCGCATCTCTCCTCGATCCCGCTCCTTCTTCCGCCTTTAAAATGCGAACGAAGTGTTCGTTCAAGGGGACCCTTCTCTCGTTCACTCGCCTCCCACAACTGAATCCCTCCAAGCTTCCCGAACTACTCCCGACCTCCTCTTCTCAACTCCATACGAAACCTCTGCTCCGGCTGAACTCCCTCTGCCCGACATCCAACCTCCCGATCTCCTTCAGCCGAGAGAGAGAGAGAGAGAGAGAGAGAGAGAGAGCCGAAGCTCCCCTACCTCATGCCGACTGCCCTATCCGAGCCCTTCTCTGCCTCCTCCTTTGACGTTCTCCCTTCTTGTTGAATAGGATGTTACGACATTTTAATCGGAGGCAACACAGGGAGCTCGCTGGTTGAAGGTATCTTTCTCCCTTTCTAGCGCCTCTTCAGCCAAATCCCGTAAATATGTTGAGTGGAAAGGGGGAGAAAATTAATTTATTTTAATTATAAATTTTAATATTTATAATTAATTATAGTTAAGAAATTAATTATTAGTAATTATTTTTAATTATAAATAATTAACTAATTACAATTAATTAATAATTATTAATTAATTATTGATTATAATTATTTAATTAAATATGATTAATTTTAATTAATTATATTTAATTATTAATTAATAATAATCTGAATTAATTAATAATTAGTAATTAATTATAATTATTTAGTTAATTATAATTACAAATAATTAATTATTTGGTTATAATTACTTAATTAATTATAGTTAATTATTATTAACTATAATTAATTATGGCTAATTATAATAAAGAAATATGCTTCTTCCTTCTCTTATCTCGATCCGCGCCGACGACCGCCAAGGTATAACTCCTAAACCCTAAAACTTGAAAACCCAATTCCCGGCTTGCAACGCGGCGATACGACCAACTCATGCACGCTCTCTAGCGTGGTGAGAACGGGAAATTTGTTGCGAGCTTGGCGACGGGGCGGGTAATCAAAAACCCCATTTTCGGCGTTGAGGCGGGTCCTGAAAACCAATCTCATGCACGCTTCTCTCTAGCGTGTGGGAAGGGAAAACCAGATGCGAACGCCTACGGCAGGCGGGTAAAATTTATTAAAATTGCTATTTAAAACCAGTCGCCCGCAACCCATCTGCACGCTTTCTCTGTGGCGTGGTAGGGCGAGAACAAATATTTACGCCGCGGTGTCCTCTTCCGAGACACCTACCATGCACGGCTTTTCTCTAGCGTGGCGGGAAGGCCCTTTTCCGTAGTTCCCCTAAAGGGGGAGATGCCGGAAGGCTGCCGAAATTTCGTGTAAACATAAAATCGTACTTGGGATAATTTTTGGAGCTTACTTGGACAATTAAATTTGGAGCATTCAAAATGGACTTAATTTCAAACTCAAACAATCTAAATAATTGAATGCAAACGAAATAAAGAATGGCTCGTACTCAAGGGGACCGCAGAGAACTGTACTTGAAAACTCAAACTCAGATTTGAAACTCAAGCAAGAACGTTCCAGTATGGCCTTGATTGAACTCAAAAGGACAAGATTTGGGACACATTTGAACAGAAGTGGACTTGTGAACTCGAACTTGAAACTAAAATGGGACTTAAAATGATAATTCAAACCAAATAATTGAAAGCTTTGATTTTGGACTAAGAAAGTGATAGTTGAGCTACAATTGACATTGAAATTTCCAAACTTGACATCATATGCATATAATTTTGCATTTGAACATTTAAGCCGACAAGGCTTGGACTTGGACTTGAACAATTTGAAAAGCAAGGGCCAATAGAACTGATTACTCGAAGGACAAAATTCAACCAAAACAAAAACTTAGATGACAATTGAACTTGCAAATTCAAGTATTTACTTGAGACAATTACAAGATCTTGAAATCATATGGGACTTGAATTGAACATTAACTTGAATAATTTGTTACACTAATTAAGTATGTTTCAAACATGATTTGACCTTAAAAGGACTACAAGGGATTTGATTTTGGAAATACTTTGAGCAAGGATCTTGAGCTTGATAGTTTGATCACTCAAACCTTGGATTGAAACATTTACATTGAGGCCTGAACCTTTATATTGGATTCGAGTTTAGATATGATCTTGGACTCATTATGACATTGAATCTGCAAGCATAAAACTCAAACTTGAATTGAGTCATGAGCTCTAAAAGAATTTGAAACAAGGCAAGTTAGACTTCAAAAAATTAAATCTTGAATGTAGAAGGAAACTTTTGATTCGACTTGAAGAATTTGTAGCTTGGTTAGAATGAAAGAGTTCGTTTGAAAGCCAAAAGCTCACAATCATAGAGAATTAATTCTCTATAGCAAATTAAAATGTCTCGATCAGCAATAAGAACAAGGAACAACGAAGCAATGAAAGATTTACATTAAAATCTCATTGAAACATGAATTTTCTCATGAAGCAAATGACGGTATTCATGAAGGGATCATTCTACAGAACATCGATGAGAAAAACAACACTCAAGATGCAATCAGCCATCAAAGACAATGGAAAGACCTTCAGTATACATTATAAATAAAAGATATCCATATCACCCACATGGGTTAATCACGGAATTTGCAAAGAGGAGTTGGATGATGCTAATGGAATTGACCCCTAATGAACATGATTCATCTCAAGTAGAGTAAAGAAATGATATTTCAAATTTATCATGCATATGGAAACAAACCACCTTTTCAAAGGATAAAGAATTTGCAAGGGAAGTTCTATTTGCAACGAGTAAAAGGACGAGCCCTCGATGTGTTACCTAAATTAATCCCTGAATAATACAGTGACTGATGGTTTCCTTGCCAATCAACTCTATGGGCATAAATAAATTGAGTGCAATAAAGCTGCGACACCTCTATATCAATATAAATGTTCAAAGTTAAACGAAACACTTGATTCACTGTAAGTGGAAAAAGAAAAATATACAACGGATGTAAACTCCTACGAATTATCGTAGGAAATTTATTGCACCATTCAATGCATCATCGCCAACCAAAATTTTATATGGCCACCATCAACTACAAATGACAACAAGTCACTGTGAGAAACTCGTGATGCATAGAACAGATCAGTTATAATCATCTACAACTTAAGGAAGGGAAGACTTAGTTAGTGCACTACAATCCAATTGTAGAAAGCAACACGTAGTGCACGACAGTCTACCTGTACGTAAGCATATGAACAACTAAATTCAGAAGCTGTTACGCCACGCCACCGAACTTGCAACACCTCTACAAGCAGACAGAAGGCGTTAAACAAGTTTGAAATAAATACCCCCGCACGTGCACCGTAGTTTGTATACACATAGGTACACAAAAGGGATAAATGTAATCAAATACCCGCATGTGGCCCGACGAGCGTGTTATTGGTACACACGTGACATCTATGGATGTTAAGCGGGTTATTAAATTTGAACCCGATTCTTCCAAGTAGATAAAAGGAGTTTGACATGGTTCAATTATAAAATTACCCCCAAACACCCGCATGGGCCCGACGAGCGTGTTATTGATACACCGTGACGTCTAGGGATGCTGGCCGCGGTCGATAAGTGAATTCAAGTTCAAAACCCGATCCTTCTATACAGATCTATAGGAGTCGACAGGTTCGAACCATAAGAAATATAAGGTGTGGTGTCCAATATATTGTTTTAATACATTCATATCAGGCCTTCAAGGCCTATAACAATTTGAATTCACTAATAAGGGCATAAAGCTTGCAAAATCTGATCCTCTATCGATAATTCGATATAGTTGGCAAGATTCAATCAATAAAACAGAAATGCTCCAAACACCCGATGATGGCCGTGTTGAATGCTAATCTCAATCGGAGGGGTTCACAAATTTTCCAATGCTTTCCAAATTATCCAAAAATCCAGAAATCAAAAATCCCAAAAATTCAAAAATATTTTTAAATTTGAAATCTAACTATCAAACACTTAAAGCAAACTTCATCCACCCTCCGCAACAGTTTGTCGGGGCGGACAAATTGAAATTTACTTCAGCTCACATAGAGATAATGCTGGTCGAGAATATCACTATGATCCATTCTCAAACAATCTCTTGCCAGTAAAAGACGTGGGTACGTGTCCTCTAACCGGCAGTTTCGCCGCCAAATTGCACTGCATGTAAATGGTTATGACCCGGGGCCCTTTGAACCGAGTGGTTTTGCCTCCAAATGGCACCACAGATAGCGGTTATGGCCAGAGCCAATACGCTCCTTTTAGTGGCGTTAAATCCTTGAGATATGATCAATAGGATATGATCGATAGGGCACAAAGCCCTCTGTTAGCTAAGGTGGATTTAAATTTGTCCCCTTAGATAAACATTCATCCCAAGTGTCTACAAGGTACCCTTTGACGAAGCAACCCATGGCTACCGACAAGGATCCTCTGTCAGGTTGGGTCGACTACCTCCTCCTGACTAAGTAGAACCAGGGACCACGATGGCCCGGGACGACGGAACCATGGGATCTTGATCGGGTCTACCATCCATTCCCCCACCATCCGCTTTAAGTGCTAGGTGGTGAAATTTCCTATTTTAAATATCACTTTTCAAATCTTTCCAAATTCCCAAATCCAAACCCAATTCCCAAATCCAATTTCTACAAATATCCTAAGTCCATTGCTGCTACTAGATACCAGATAATATGTATATTCTACGTATCTGATCGACGACTAGCCTTAATCGAAAGTTCTCTCTCGTTATCGGGAGGGGTAATTAACTATAGGGGCTTGTGCCTATAGGAAACCAGAACTCAGATCATAAAGTCCTCAACAAATGAGGGCGAAATCTCTGGGTAGTGTCTTATCTACAAACCCATCTGTCTTCCAAAATTTACCCCGGAACCTATCAGTTAAAACTCTCTCGCCGAATAAAAAGAAAAAGCGGGCGGAGGCCGGGGCCGAATTTTCGAAGCCCACAAGAACAACATTCAATTGGCTCGATTTCCAAAATTTACCCCGGAACCTATCAGTTAAAACTCTCTCGCCGAATAAAAAGAAAAAGCGGGCGGAGGCCGGGGCCGAATTTTCGAAGCCCACAAGAACAACATTCAATTGGCTCGATGGCTCGGGGATCTACCAAGAATGAGATTTAAAGGCTCGGGGATAAACTGAATTAGCAACCTTGAAAGAATACATGAAAGCTACCCTCTCAACTCATAAGAATCTTAAAGTTCATATTGATGAGAAAATAGATACCATGGGAAGACGCAAAACTCATAGCTTTAGAGACTCGAAAGCAACTAGAAATGGCCAATGGCATTTAGAGACTATTGTAAGGGGTGTAATCTACAAGAATATTTGAACCCTACAACATCCAAGGAAGGAGAATCTAGAGTTAGAGTTAGTGCACAAGAAAGAATTCTAGACTTCTGTGGAAGATGGAGCAGAAAGAAAGAAGCCTCCACTTGAAGTTAAATATGTTGCATCATATAGCCTGAATTGGAGCAATTGAGAGCTGCACTTGAAACAATTGAGACAAGCCCCTAGAAAGAACAAATTCTAACCATTATGCAAATTCAATCAGCATTTGAGATGCCTGAGTATGTGAAGGTTGATGTAGGGCTCATGAAATTGGAACTCGGGCCAACCTTATAGAAAACAAAGGCAGAACTTTTGGAATTGAAAGCACACAGTCTTAGTACATGAAAGGGGGATTCATAGGAATATCGCTAGTACATGAAAAGGGAATTCATAGGAATATGGCAAGTACAAAGGAGCTGAAAAATGAAATGGATAAGGCAAATGTGAGCCAATTTGACTCTGAGATGAGGCTGACAATACTATAGATGTTACACTAAAACCAAACCTCTTGGATAAAGAGACAAAAGCTGTAAAGCAATGTAAGGGAATGAACAGCTGAAATCAGACAACATTTTCGAAAGTTGACCTCCACAAATTTGAACTCGCTGTGAACTTCCCCGCGCAGTGCCACACTGTGCCACACCACATAAGTACCCATACGTATCTATTTTGATGTGGCTGGAAATTTTTCATTTGCAAATTTCTTGTGCATGTGATCACCCATACCCGCCTTTTCCCTGGTGCAAGAAGAGAAGACCCATATGCATCTTTCTTGGCACGATCGGGAAACATGATTCAAGTTGCTTAAATAAATAAAATAACAACAACAATAAGCCTTTATCCCATTATATGGTGTCAGCCACTTAAATAAATAAATAAATATAATAAATAAGTACTAATACGTGTCTTTCTTGGAGTGATGGGGAAATTTCGTATTAAACATTTTTTATGCGAGCAGAAAGACTTATATGGGCCTTTCTTGGTGCGATGGGAGCAGTAGTCCCAATCATGGTGTTTACACCACCCATACATGTCTTTTTTGACATGGTGAGCAGGCCCAACATTCCAAAATTACCCCTACACAACAGGTGACGTCGGAATGCTAACAAAATTTGAATTGATAAAACCTGGAGAGAACCATTAGAATGGGCATCTTAAATCATAAACTTGAAATAAAAGGAACAAATGCAAAAATACAAAACCATCAAATGAAAATAAAATTGCTAAACAAAATTGAAGCTGCAAGCATAAAACAAAAAGAAAAAAAATCGAACTCGAACAACACTAATAGGGGATCTGCAATGAACACAATAGCTCGTATGTAAGCAAGAACCGTCATCCTTGCACACTCAGAACACTCTTGAGCTCTCCTAAGAGAATGAGAAAACACAAGGACATGATGAAATGAATACAACACACCTGACCTATTTATGAGACAGATAAGTTATATGAGGCCCACAAAACTAAAAAACCAACTATGTAAAGCAAGGTTTTTAAAACCGGACTGGTCCATAAACCGGAAGAACAAGAGGTTAGTGGTTCGATGGTTCGACCGGGATCGAACTGGATGACGTAATAAATATTTATTATATTTAAATATTATAATAATGACACAACTATTTATAAATATATAACAAAAATTGAACATAATTATAATATGAAGTATAAAAAATAAAACAATATATATAGTAAATAAAAAAAAACATAATAGTATATTTTATTTGAAGACAACCAATCATAGAAAGATGCGAAAATACTTTATACCAACTGATAACAAAAAGAAAACATATTCACTTTCTCATTTCAATAGTTTCAAATTTTCAATAATTTCACAAGAGCAAAATCAAAGATCTTCTAAATTAGCATCATCAAATCTATCCAAATAAGTTGAGTCTCCAGGTCTGGCTTCAAAAAAATGTTCAAACCCAAATGCATCTGATTGATCAAGCCCGATTATGTCGCATACATCTCCTTCATTCTCTAAGGCACCTTCACCAACAAATAAGAAATATAAAATAAGATATTATCAACTTTTTGCTTTCATTTAAATGATATACTCAAATTTTATTATCAACTTACAATGTCCTGAATGATTAAATGATATATTTTGTTCTTCAACAACTGGCATTGCATCCTCTTTGTATATTAACTAGTAGTTGAAGTATGATTAGTAGGAGCTTCCATTCTAATTTGGTTAACTAAATAAAATCACACATAAATTAAAACCCAAGGTAGAAAACTACAACGTAGAAAACTATAAGATAGAAAAATATGCAAGGTAAAAAACTATGCAATGTAGAAAACTGTGCAATAGAATTGCAATGTCTGAAACGATACACAATGCATACATCAATCCGTCGTAGAGAAGAATTTCACCACTGCCTAAAGTCTCCAACCTTTCAGTACTAGAGATGAGTTCCCTAAAGAAAACCTGTAATATAATTGACATGATTTCAAATGTTGAAGGGAAGCATTTACACGCCATGTGAAAGAGAAAAGCTACAAGCTAAGCTATCTTTTTAGTAGCTATTAAATTCGGATAAATATTTTACATCTGAATTTAAGCAGTAAGTGATGGTAGACAAGGCAATGCAAGAATGTAGAACTATCCAAAAGCTACAACAACTTTATAAGAAATCTATAAAGATTAAAGACTTCAGATTCTGAAACAAACCAGGACAAGGCAACGTTCGGCCTTGACTCGTGGCTTCATGAATGACTAAGCCTATAGGAGGAGATCGGGTTGGCTTCTTGCTTCGCGAACGAGAAGAACAAAGACGGTAAGTCGATAGCTTCGAATGAGATTTTTTTTTCCTCTGTTGAAGCTCGAAGCCAAAGAGTCGAGAGCGAACGTCCGATGCGAATGAGAGGTTTTTTTCCCTATTATAAGCATTCCCTCCCGAAATCTCTGCCATTGGATCTAGCTAATCAACAAGGTATCCGAACCGACTGGTTATCGGAAACCAGAACCGGGTTGGCGGTTCAACAGTCGAACCGCCGGTTCGAGCGGGTTTATCCCGATTTTCTGCAAAACAGGTTCTCATTTGAACCGTAACCGGCCGGCCGGCCGGTTCGCGGTTCAACTGATTGAACCGACCGATTCGGTCCAATTTTAAAAGCCTTGATGTAAAGACAATAAAAAGGACATCATGAGATTTCAATTCATCTCTATGTTGCAAAATTCATAAAATAAAACAAGCAAGCAGACATAAGACGAATTTTTAAAATTCAAAATGAAACATTACATGCCTTCGAATGACCAAACATTCGTGCAAATTACAAAGTATGGATATTTGCAAATCATAATCATGCATTACATGATAATTTTTAACTTAATTGTAATGCATTGAAAAGCATACAAGTACACCATATAAATGTATTAAAAAACATGCAAGTGTACAACAAAAAGGAACAAAAAAATATGCAACTACCCTGAGAAATGTGCAATTGCTCAAAGAAACATGCAATTGCCCCGAGAAATGTGCAAGTACACTGCAAATGGAATAAAAAGGATGTAAGTATACCATACAAATGCACTAAAAAGCATACAACTGCATAAAAGAGCATGCATATATATTGTATACATGCACAAAAAATCATGCAGGTGCATTATAAAGCCCACCAAAAATTATGTGCAACAAACATAAAATTATCTGCATATGCCCCTACAAATGTAATAAATGCTTGAACTAAAAGTCTACAAAAAAGTTGCATATATTAAAAATGAAAAAAAAAAAGATCCCCCATTTTGAGAATCGTGCAACCATTTTTGAAATTTATAAGATCGTTTTTCTATTTTAATCATATTTCACGTAGACCATCGAGCGAGCAACCTTGCCTATACAATATAATCATAAGTCTCACGTTTCAAGCATGATCCACCTCGCACTAAGATTTGTACCCTGTGAAGGATGTTCGAATAACAAACTGCAAATAGCTCATGATAAAAGAATCATTTTTAAATCCTATTAGAATAATAAACTGCTCATTATAGATGTAAGGTAGATGTTTATTCAAAGGGGATTTGACAACTTTTAGTTTCCAACAAGGATCCTTCGTTTAGGTTAGGATGATTACTTCCACTGACTGAGCAGACAAGGGTTCATGAAAATCAAGAATAATGAAATCATGGGATCTTGAACGAGTTCATCATGATCTCCCACACCACCCGCTTTCAGCTAAAGATGATAAATGTTCTCTATCATAAATCCAAAAATCATTGATACTATACGATAAACATTTAATGTCTGTCTAATAACTAGTCTTAATCAAAAGTTCTCTCTTGTCACTAGAATGACCAATATCAAAGGTGTTTGCTCCTATGAAAAATCTAAAACTAGCTAAAAAAAATCTAGCAAAATCAAAGCGAAATCTCCATATAATATCCTATATACAATCAAATCCGTCACAAAAGAGCTAGTCACAATTTTTCGGAGCCCACATTTTTTCAGGAAAGTCATAACAAAAATTATGCTTTATTATTTTAATTGAGGGGAAAAGAGGGAGAGTGTGAGATAAAAAGAGAGGGCAAAATGTTCGAAGAAAACCAAAATTAGCTCCTAGCATATAGCTTAGGAAGAGATGGAGGATTTAAAAAGTAAAAGGATACTTAAAAGCAATATGTTCAGAGTCAGCCACATCAACACCTAGCATATAATTAAAAGGGGGGTGCTAACTAAGATGTGCATGGATGCTCAAATGCAAAATGTTTGTGTAATAATTTTCTAAATTCCTCGTAATACTACTAATGTAGGAACATTGATGTTCACATATGGCACACTTACCGACCTTATTGACTACTCATGTTAGCCAAGTGAACCAATCCATGCATACACTAAATTTGGGTTTAAAAAACAATTGTTCGTCATTGTTTGCCCAGATAATCATAAAAATAACAAGCTTTTATCTCACTATGTGGGGTTCGGCTACATAAATCTTTTTTATCCATTGTGTACTATTAAGAGTCAAATTTTCATTTAAATCTAATAAAGAAATATCATTTCCTATGTTGCACCGATATGGATACGGCGACACGGATACGACACAACACGGATACGGGACAAGTCAATTCTTAAAAATACAGGATATGAGTACAGCATGGACAGTGGACATGACATTTATAATTTATGTCATACATAAAAATTAAGAAAACAATAAAATCATAGCATTTGAAATGACAAAAAAAATTAAAACAACATCATTTGTAGTCTTGTAGCTTATAATATCAAAATAAAAGTAAGTATTAACTGTCTAGTATAACAACAAAAATATAAATATAAATTGTCTAGCACATGAAGTTTCAACTATTCAATAGAAGGAATGATAGGATTAGCTTGTTCAATGGTTTGTCTTTAAACTTCTATTGAACATAAACCCAAGATGCACACTCACGCTCACGGGTTCGGAAGTGAGAGAAACTTGCTCGCAACCATGGAAGAAAATGTGAAATACGCATCATTTTTTCCAATTTTTTTTGTTTTTCAAGGTACACGCGTATCCGATACGTGTGTCCTTTTGAAATTAAACATTATTTTAATTGGATACGGCTTTGGCATATCGGTGCCGTATCGAATGAGTATCCATGTCGGACACGTATCCGATACAGCACACCTTCATAAATAGGTGTATAGGTGCAACATAGATCATTTCTAAAACATTGTAACCAAGTCTTCTTAGTTTTACCTCTACATTTCTTAGCAAAGATCAAATCTAATACATCTACTCTCCTAATCAAGATATCAGAAGGCTGACGTTTTACGTGACCATATCATCTAAGGCGACGCTCTCCAATCTTATATGCCATTGAATCCACTCCAACCTTTTCATGCATACACTCGTTTCGTATTTTGTTTCTAAAAGTGAAGCCACTCAAACATCTGAGCATTCTCATCCCTACAATACTTAACTTAATTTTAGTCTTCTCTTTTAATGGCCAAAATTCTGCGCCATAAAGCATTGTAAGTTTCACTACCATGTTATAGAATTTTTCCTTAAGTTTAAAAAGTACTTTTCAATCACACAACAGGCTCAATGTATTCCTCCACTTCAACCATCCAACTTGAAATATACTAATAATATCCCCATCTATTTCACCATCACTTTGAACAATAGACCCAAGATATCTAAAACATGTACTCTTTTTAATGACTTGATCACCCAAAGTCACAATCCCCTCACTAGATATATTACTACTAAAATTACACTCTAACTATTCGATTATAGATCTACTCAAACAAAAAACCTTTAGACTTTAAGGTTCACCTCCATAATTCAAGTTTTCCTTCAACTCCCTCACTAGTCTTATAAAAAAAAAATCATCTGTAAAAAGCATGCACCTTCGTTCATCCTCTTGCAGATGTTCAGTAAGAGCATCCATGACTAAAGAAAAAAGATATGGGTTTAAAGTTGATCCTTGATATAACTCTTACTTTCATAACTACCTCGATGGGAGCAGTATCATCTTTGAACATATTCTCAATAACTACCTCTCATAATTTTTATGTATGACACATTAACATAATTCCTCTATAATTTACACTCTTATGCATCACCTTTTTTCTTAAAAATATGAACTAACACACTCTTCCACTTATCTGGCATATTTTTATTCTTCGAAATAGTATTAAATTTTTCGTAAGCCAAGAAATTCTTTTATCTCCTAAGCATTTACACACCTGTATTGGAATATCATTAGGTCCAACAATTTTTTCATATTTTATTTTCTTTAAAGTCTCTCTAACTTCAGTTTTATTGATACAACGATAAAAACAAATAACTTTATTGTAATTTAGGGTACTAAAGTCACTAAAGTCGATCATATTCTCGCAATCAACAACAAAAATTTATCGAAATATCTCATCCACCTATGTTGAATATCCTCTTCTAACAAAAAAATTTTTTATTTTCATCCTTAATGCACTTCACTTAAACTTAAACTAAATTCTTACTTTCATATCTCTTTGTTTGACTAATTTATACATATATTTTACGTCCTCATTAGCATATAATCTATTATACAAATTACTAAAAGTTAATTACTTGCATGACATATTGCTTTGTTAAACTCCTTCCAATTCGGCCCATTTATAAATTTCTCAATTTTTCAAGCTTTACATTTAATCCAATATTAACAACAAATTTTATTATTTTTATCTTTTCTTGCACATTTTGATTGTATCACCAACTATTTTAATATTAAGAGATTTTTCTTTAGATACCAAACACAAACTTTGCAATATTTTTAATATCACTAGTTTTTATTTCCCACATAACAATACAACATCAAAATTTTAAGATTTTAAATCTTACTCTAAAAAATATTTTTGTTTGTGTTTTTTAAATACCCTCATCTAATCCTAGAACAATATTTTACTCCATTTTTTAAATTTTGCACATTTATCTGAAAGTCTTAAACTAATAAGCGATACTAAGTACATAAACTTTAACTTGAACTCTCTACGCCCTCGCATAATTGAGAGTTCAGTTCCATTATCTCTATTAAATTATCTCTCCTAAAATATGTCACAAACAAAAGAAGCAATCTAACAAAATTCAAAAGAAGGAAGAACATTACTCACATCCATCAGATTACACCAATTTGGCCTCAAAGCTGAAATCCATAAGGTTTCCCAATTCATTATATCTTCCTCATAATATCCCCACCCACTTATCCGAGCAAAATCAATCCAACCACTTCCCCAATACCAATCATCCAATGCCAAAACAACCCCTCCCCCTTCCACAATCCCAACAAAAAAATAAAAAACCCTAAAAATTGAGCCCTGCTCCCAAAACTGTAATATCCCCGATGGGGGTCCCGTCGCGTGAAGAAGTCGAAGGTGGCGAGGAATACGGAGAAGGTAAATCGGACGGAAGAGCTTGTTTTGGTCACTTACAGCCGTGAAGTCGAAGAGGACGAAGCAAAAGAAGTAATTGGAAAGCCGCTTGCTTCATTCGCGCCGGTTCTGTTACCTAAAATCGTGAAAGCCAACGAACTCGAAGTCCGAATCAGGTGAGGTGGAAGAAGACGAAGAGCTCGACGTCGGTTGACGAATTGAATATTTAGGGGAGGCGTCGTTTCGCTCCCTATACAACGAGAGTGAGAGGGTAAAGCATCAGCTTGTGGCGAATCGAGAGGGAAAGAGAGAGCCGAGGGAGACCGAGAGAGTGAGAACGGAAGCGAGGGAAATATCGAGCAAGCTTGCTGGGGCATTAACAATTTTTATTTGAGTTTGCAGGTACATTTTTTATTTTTGTTAAATTTTATTTAGAAAATGATGGGAATGTATAAGTGAGAAATTTTAGATTAAAATGATTTGAGTTAATAAATTTTATTTAAAAAAATTATGAGCATATTTTTTATATGCTCATAATTTTTTCAAATGAAATTAATTTTAATTGAGTATAATATATTTTTTATTATTTTGATAAAATGTATCCTAGAGAGAAAAAGAGTGCGTAAATATTATGAGAGATTTTATTTAATTAAATTAAAAATTTTTTTAGTAAAAAATTATAATTTTAAAAATAATTTAATATGTACTAGAAATTTTAGAAAAATATAATCAAAATTAGAAAGATTATTGAATATGAGAAAATAAACTTTATAAAAAAGAGATCTTTACAATAGTAGATTAATTGGCTAGAGATAAAGTGAGCAATTTATAATTAATTAAATGAATAAAATGATTATATAAAAATGCTTGAATGTGCATGTTGACTGATGGATCACATATCTTTATGATATTGATTCGTGATGCAATATATTCATGCACGTAAATGAAAAATGTTATGAAAAAAGAAAATGAAATTAAAAATTTATACCTTCATTGGTACTATTGTAGACGGTGGCTCCTATGACGGTCATATTATTTATAAGAAAGCATAATGATATAGATAAATATATGACATGTATAACATTGATGATCATGTTCGAAATGAATTTAAATGAAATTATTTTATATTTTGAAATGATCATGCATATTATTGTTAATGCCTTGAGTTACTGTAATTTAGAGATATGAATTACTCACTGAGTTATGTTATGACTCGCTCTTCCTATTGAAAAATATTTCAGGAATAATTTAGTAAATTAAAATGAGCATAAGAGAAGAAAATATGTATCGTAGGTGTTACGCTTTAAAAGAAAAATATTTATAAATATTTTTAAGATTTTAGTGGCTCTTTATGCTTATTAGAAATAGTTAATTATTAAATGAAAATTTAATCAACAGTCCGTCCGTCTATTTCCACATCATTAATTTGAGTCTCTGGGTTGGGTCATGACAAGAACCCTGTCCTAAATTCTATAAGGCTTGATTCAAGTTGGGAGATTAAGAGCATGTGTGAAGATCATACGAGTCCAGTGGAGAGAAAGGCAACATGATGCAACTAATATAACGGTCCATATTATTCAAGCAAGAGAAAGGGAAAATTGAGGCTTCAAGACAACAAGTCGTTATTTTTTTAAACTTTCTATAATTTAAAGAGCAACAGTAGAGATTAAAGCCAGGTGGTAATGAAATAATTAAATCTTAGGAAGAATATTACATGTGTAATCGCCTTTTAGAAATGAGATAGCATACTTTTAGTATCTTTCTTGAATCTGAAAAGACCCTTAAACAATATTCCATCAACTACTTGACCAATCCTTATAAACCAACGCAAAAAATTAAGCATAATACCCAAGTCTAAAACTAATTAATCAATAATCAAATACACCCATTATTTTTAATCAACTATCCATCTTTGTTGCAAGCATTATATATCATGAACCTATCTTAACATATGATTCCATCAATCCTTAAACTCACAAACTCAATATTAAACAAGTCTCCATCAACCTTATTTTCCCATTTCCTATAAGGCAGCTAGAATGATAATTTGGTGAGCAACGATTCCCATAACGATATAAAATTCTATTACAATAATCAGTGTAAGAAGGGATTATTAACGTATGCATTGGGCAGATAATTCAATGAGTGCTAAAAGAATATATGTAAAAAACTCAAGGCTATAACAATAGTAATGATGAATATATGAGTAGATAGTAATAACTGTAATAAAGAATATACTAGGCATGGTAACATATAAACTACAACATGATAGAACTATGTTCAGTTGAATCTCTCATATATTCAACTTCATGTTATATAATTATGGATAAGATCACTATGCGCCAAATTCGATTGTGTAGGATATGTAAATTGCACCATCATTTTAATTTTTGAGTTTTATAAATAAATTAATTTTATAATAAAACTTCTTCATTTTAATTTCATGACCAACATATTTTCATGGCCAACTATGTTTACCAGTAAAAACTTTTCTTTTTGATATTCCGAGCACATACTATTTTCCCTGGTTACTTTGTTTTCCTCACACTTGAAAATCGTTATAGCTGATATTAAGTTTTGGTTATGATTGATGAAGAGCTTATGTTGAGTTGATTTTGGCTTCATTTGAGACGGCTTTCTTATTGCTTCTTAAAACAGCTTTTTTAGTACAAAATTTTTAATATTTAAACTAAAAAGTCGCTTTAAGAAGCAGTAAAAAAACCGCCCCAAACGAAGCCGTTGTCCCTGACTCGGGATCAGCTCAAAACAATTGTGGTAGATCTTAGCCGAACAAATCTAGTTGCAATTTGGTTTGATACGATGACAATTACAGTAAATTTAAGCCAAAAAACCGCTTGTACGTTTAATCAATTTTCAATCCTCCAAGACAGCTTTATCCAGCCAAGAATCAATTCATGCGCATCAAAATAAGTCTAACATTTTTTTTCTTAAATTCACCATGATGATTTTTTTTCTCCATAAAATGATAGCATTCTCGACTAAAACAACATTACCATCTCCAATATTGACAGCAGCAATACAAAGACACTGGAACTGCACTTGAGAAGCAAAAGTGCTTATTCTCTAACTTAATACAAGGAAGAATTCCAATGTTTAAATAGTAAAATAATGTACAGTCATTAAATAGATATAGTCACATAAGGCATTCAATTGATGAACTTAAAGCATCCTTCCAACAAACCGTTAACGGTTAGTGTTAAAAACCACACTAAGCTCATATATATCCAGTCTCTAATAATTCCCACCTGAAGGGAGGATATACAAACATAACTTCCGGCGGGCCTTTGAAGAGTAATCCTACACAAACGCAAACTGCAGCAATGCCTACCATAGATAACAACATTGGACGATACAGCAGAGACCTTCCCACCGAGCTTCGGCAAGCCAAATGCTGCTCGCATAGCTTGCAGAACCGAGGCTGTGATTGTTCTGATTTTGTCTTATCAATTTCAAGGCTATATAGTTTGCCGGATTTCAATCCTTGTGTTTGTGTATAGATTGCATCTGCTGGCAATGATAATTTACAAGGCATGTTAACAACCACATCGCATTTTTCGGCGATTTTCTTCATCTTCTTCTGCATCAGAAGTATGTAGGATTCATGGCCTCGAGCTCGCGCATAGTCTTCAGGAGTGAAACCAGTGGCGTCGCGGGCGTTAGTCCATGCTTTCACTCCAAACTACCATTTGTAAAAACAATTAAGATTCCAAGATAAATAATAGGTTTTAATTTTAAAAGAGAAGTAAAATATATCTATCTTTCACAATTGATTTGTTTAGATTGTCAATTTTTTATAATATTTATTTAAAATTTATTATTTTAAAGATGAGACTGAAGCGGAATTTCATTTCCATAAGCATAGTTAATCGAGTAGTAAAATAATGATGGAAAAAAATTGAAAAACATACCTGTCCTGGATCTTCAGTCAATATATTCAACATGTTCTCAGCAAAACTACTAGTTGCTGCAACATGAAGAGGAGTAATACCAGAAGGTCCAGGCATGTCTGGTCTAAACAAATTATATAAGCCTCCATCTGAATTTTTGTCTGGTTTGTATCTTAAGAGGAGCTTAACGGTTGAGTTGGAATTCCTCTGTACAGCATAGTGGAGCAGATCTTCTGACAAGGCAACCTCATTAGGAGAACGCCCATCTGTTTCAATATTTCCCTCAAAAAAAATGTCTAGGAACTTTTTGACAACAGCAGACCAATCACGATCAATGGCGAATCTCAAAATCCATCGAAAACGTAAAAGAGAAAAAGTTTCCAAACAGCTATTCTCTGATTCTGAACTAAATCTTAACTGACTCCTACGGAGAAGCCATCCCATTTCATGTAAGAAATTCATGGTTAGGGTTCTTGCAGTCTCCACTTTTTCCTCTGAAAGGTCCTCATATGAGGCTATTGAACTCTCCAGCATTTTTATCTCAGCACATATGTCTTCTTCTGCCACTATGAAGGGAAAGAAACCACTGCTAAGACCATTATCTTCAATCTGAAAAAAGATCAGAAATTGAAGTAAGATTTAATGAAAAAGAAGCAGTGAGCTTTCATCATTGCAAGAACAGGACCTCGATGAAACCTCGACCAATTCCATCAGGAACGTGGCAGGAGACGCTGATAGACTGGAGCTGTTCATTCCTGTTTCCATTGCTTCTGTTGTCAGAACATTGGACTTTGGGTTGGTTTACTTCTTGAATTAGATATTTCCCTTCATATGCACAGAGTAACCTGACATTGCAATGGACAATAAGAAAGCATAGGTGGTGGAAAAAAGATAACAAAACTAAGCTGTCAAGGACCAATGAAGATTCTATGCTAGAAGACTTCTAAACGAAAAATGGGATTATAAACCTTGTACTCGATCGAACAAGATTGGAACCTTTCACTTTAAAGGTAACCCTTGAAGAAGGAGGAACAGCAACTGGTGCGATGCTAACAATCTTACTGCAAGTAGGTCTCTCCATGATCAAGGATTTGTTCAAAACAACCTGACCTGCAGAATTGCAAGAAAATGAGAACCATTTGCATCAACATGAGCTTTTCTAGTATTCAAGAAAACAACGCACCATTGTAAATAAAGGCTATGTGATGTTGCACTCTAGCAAAAATCCATCCCATTTTCCAAAAGTCATCATCAGCTACGAGGAGTAGCCTTTTCAGGCTAGAGCCTAGATCATGGCACAGCTGCAAATGAGGATGTATTAGAAACATTGAGCAACATGTTATTAATGATAGAGTATTACCATTCAAAAGAAACTGCAGACCTCATCCCACATAGATGCCTCAAGACGAAGATAAACTGTAAGAATGATACAACCAGGTCTGATATAGCTCTCCATGTCCGTCGGGCTATTAGATAACCAGTCAAAGATCTGTAATTCGAGTACAAGGAATAATTTGAACATTTTGGGATTATCATTATATGGCCTTATTTTCTAAAATCCACTCTTATAAAAATAAGACAGCTTCAAAATTAGCAATTACCTGTGCCCTTAAAACAAGAGGAAAATCATTAGGGTCCTTTCCAAATAGTTTGAATACTATTCTATCTGTACGACTCTGGAAGGAGGAAAAACAGTTTATCAACCAATAGATCTTGATCAATACAGTTTTTCTATAATAGAAAATTGATCCAACAAGCAACAAACTTATTTCCTGCTCAAATATCTACCTTGATTTTTTTCTAGCATCTTCATAAGACAAAACAAACATTAAACAAACAAAAGATAATAAAAAATAAAAAATAAAAACAAACAAAAGATAAACATCTACATTTTGTTGAGAAAGGTGTTTTAAGGTATGAGAGAGAAAATAATCATAGGAAAAATCTTCATTAGTACATTATGCCCTACAACTTTAGATTGCTAAACTTCTAAAAAGCTTGTGCTCGTCACAACATGGATTTGGAAATAATTCTACCTTATTGAATTATTTTTTAACTTCAAATCACATTAACTTGAAAGATTTCTTTGAAGGTTACATTCTAATTCCTAATCAGTTCAATTTGGTAAAATAAGATAGGGCATGTTCAATATTGCTGAAGCTGCTACAAAATTTATATTAACTGAAATGAACCATAAACTTAAAAAGAAAATTAATCACTAGATGAATATAGAGAACAATTGTATGATCAATCCAAGAATTACAAACAAGATGACTAGACATGTTTGAATATTACAAAACGTTTAAAAATCTTCTAACCAAATATTTTTGTATCTCTAGACTATTGTGTATTATTATCTGTTTCCAAGGATGAATGAAGCTACAATTTACGAAAAAAAATAGAATGAAGCTTTATTCAAATTGCGCATATTCTCTTGTTAGTACTACATCACCTACAATTAACATTTAGAAATAAAATCACCAGCATCTCCTTTTCAGCCATCAAACCCATACCAATGCAAGAAATATAAATACTTAAGTTTTAAAATACTGAAGAAACTGTAGTCCAAGAATATACTTTTAACAATGAATAATACCGAAGAAGATTTACAATTACAATATAAATCTCTACTTGATTTTGTTGAATCCAAATCTAAACCATATATATATATATATATATATATATATATATATGTGTGTGTGTGTGTGTGTGTGTGTGAGATTTTAAGTACCACAGACTTTTGCGTTTACTTTTGGTGTAAATTGAATTCCTACTTCTTCTAGTGTAGCCCATTGTTGCAGTATTTTCCATGGCTTGTGGCTTTTCTGTAGGGATTTGTGATTATAAAAAGAGATGTATGAGTTAAGTTTAATAAAACCCTTTAATATTTCACATTAAGAATATTTTTCTCTTTCCATGAATATTGATTGGATGTAATTCTTTCTATCATCGTGAAACTGGAAATTAGATTGTACCGTGAAACCTGAATTTAGTTAGATTGCATCAATATTTCAAAAGAAATTGTTAATAAAAATGTTTCAAGTGAAACATGAATTTTAAAATTCCATCCATCTAGTCCAAATTAGAGATACATGGTTCATCAAAACTCATATTTAAGCCATTTAAGTTGGTCATCTTTGAAGAGGTTGTTTATCCGTATAAAGAAATCATAATTAATCAACTTTTAGGTTATTCATCATACCACTTTTTAAGAATAATTTATAGAACATTATTAGTAATCCTTATAACACATAAATTTAGTAACATTTTCATTATTTCTCTCACATTAGTTGCATTATTTATCTAAATTGCATAGGTATATTTATAGAATATTAAGTGTTAATTATAGAAATTATATATATGAACAAGTATATTGAGTTTAAATACTACAACAAAAACACCAAGCCTTTATCCCACTACATGGGGTAGGCTATGTGAATCCTTTTTCTCTATTGTGTCATATTAAGAGTCAAAATTTTATTTAAATTTAATTAAAAAAGGATCATTTCTAATATTTTCTAGCCAAGCCTTTTTAGGTCTATCTCAACCTTTCTTAATATAGGTCAAATCCAATACATCTACTCTCCTAACCAGGTCATCGAAAGGAGAAATTATTACGTCCGGTCAAAAACCGAACGGTCCGAATGTATACCGAGTAATACCGAGTTTTTGGTGACGTGGCGCGTGGGTATTGGCCTCTGAACGCGTTCGGTTTACTGGATGTAATAATTGCTCCATCGAAAGGCTGACGTTTTATTTGACCAAACCAAGTATATTGAGTTTAAATCTACTGATAAAATAAATTTGTTTTGAATATAAAAACGCTTTTACAAAAATATTTAAGTAATTATATGTGTGAAAGACAAAGCCAATTAAATCTTGTTGCCTATTAGAACTAGAGATAAATTAGATATTCCAAGAAATAATGGCATTAATCTATTTTTAAAGTGTTTGATTTGATCTTATTCCATGATTCTGCTGTCAATTGCTTAGATTCTTCTCCTTTCTCCTATACTTGTGAATTTTTATTCAATACTCTAGCAGACAAATGAGTACAACCGGTTCCTGGAAGTATTCTGGATGATAAATTGGGTCCACTATTGATCCTGGATTATAGAGATATCTAAAGCATCCTGACAAACCTATTTGTGATGATCATTTGATTATATAATTAGAAGAGCAAATTTGTTATTGGATTTGTTTGATTACTCTTAAAAGCTTTATTTGTCCAAGTCTAATTTTTTAGAGCCGTGTAAATTTATATTAGATTGTATCAGACATCTTACGGGTATCATTTAGTACAGTTTCTCATATGTCAGATCAAGTTCCTAAGTCATATCTGATTCTTATGCTACGCAAGTTCCAAAAAATCTATGAGCAGCTTCCTTAGTGCCTAGTATTATCTCGCAATATAGTAGCCCATCTCTTACTCCTCCTTTGACTTTGTGTTGCAATTGCTTATTTGATTCATGTTTCCGCCAACTTATTTGAATTGTTGTCTCATCCAATTTTTTAAAATTTTTGGGTTTATACCCATGATCGAAATAATGTACAGCCATCTGAAATTTTTATCAATAGATAGTCCAAGTGATGTGATAGATAGCTTTTTATTCAATGAAACTGACTCCAATTTCAATCTTGCATTTATATTGGATGTATGATTCTTTTGAGGGTAGTACAAGTGAGATTACTTAATTCCAAAGAAAATCAAGGTGGGCTTGAATTTCCTCCACTAATAATTTCATATATATATTTTCTGCTAAATAATTGTGTTATAGATTGCTGAAGTTATTTTGATGATAGCATACTCACCTTTTTTGGGTTTCAATATAGTGTAGATAGTATAATGTTAAAATCATGTCTAAGTACTAATGCTATTGTTGGTGTGTTGTTGGAAATTAAAGAAGATGGCACAAATTTAATTCCCTATAAGCCTGCTAAATGGCGCAGATTATAACATCATCATGAAAAAGGATTCTTTTAAGTTAACCACAAAGCTCCCATTGCACAAAATATGTTTAAACACTTCAGATAATGATACCAGATGCCATGCGATACATTCATGCACGTCATATGGTGCGACTAAGAAAACTTAAATGTACCATGGAAGCATAGAAGAATAATTTTTGACTACCTGAGCATCCCCATTGGAACTTGAAGGTGATCGGTTTGATGTTGAATCCGTATTACCACTTGTCTGAGGTGGACTTGACTGGTGAGAATCTTGTAATATCCATGAAGGACAATTATTAGAACCAATATCCAGCGTTGCTTGGTTTGCTGGTTGCCCACATCCTAGTGCACTATCTTCTCCTTCATAATACACAGTATTCAAGTCAAATTCCTTTTTCCTCACACCGGCAACTGTACAAGCAGTAGGAAGCATGTGCTGCGATGAGCATAAAGTCAGTGATTTATCTGGCAAGAAATTTTTCTCTGCCACTAATCTTTCAGAACATGTTGCTTGCACAGTCGTGCCAAAAGAGGATACACTAAGATTTTGATGACCATGCATCTCTCTTAGAGCAACCCCAGGAGATGCACAATGATTAGTAGCAGCAGGATGATCACAGACTGTTTTAGGAGGAGAAGATAATGACTTGTTCTCTTTTGGCAGAACAGCACCTAAAATTAGAGCATTTGCAGCTTCGACTGATGTCCCAGCCTTCTGAAGATCTTGAGATGCTTGGAGGAGACCAGCACTATTGTTACCATCAGATGAACCAGCGAGAGAGGCAACATTTCGCAAAAGGTTTGACAAAAACTCCTGATCTTTTGACTGTTCAGATCTATCAGCTGTAATTAGATTAACCATTAAACTTTGAAAAATAAAAAATTTCAGTATAGCATGTTAATCTCAAAGATTTTTCTAGTTGATGAAGAAATCAGATCATATCATCACGCAAATAACAAATAAATGCAGAGGACACCACATACAAGGCATCCGACTATGATTTACACAAGATTTAAACTACCTAAATCAAATTTATGATCAACTACAAATGCCTAAAAACATCCTTGACAGTTGCTATGGGAGATGAAAAGACATTGATAGGGTGAATTTCTTCATTACAAATATAAATAACAGCAACAATAACATGAAGACAACAAGACTTACACCACATGAAAGAAGATTATGCATGGACTACAATTTGTGAAGTTTATAAGAACAAAAGAAAGTTTGACATCTAATCAAGCTCAAGTTGTACGTTTAGTGTTCTAGTATGCCGTATCCATGCCCAAACCATGACTAAAAGCATGCAAAATATTGCAAGAGTAAGGCAAGATTCTTATCTTTTCCAAATGAGGCATCGATGTTTCTCTCCTTTCCTCGTCACTTAGGCCATTTTATCTTTTCATCTCCTAATTATATTTTGTCCCTATTATTACTTGCCTAGAGTAAAGTAGCTTATAGTCAGAGGGGAGAAAAGGTGCAGAGAAAAAAGGGGAACGAAGAAAATAAATGTAGGACAGAAAGAGGAATAAACAAATGTTTAAAAAAGGGAAAGTAGCTATCGCACCATAATTCAAAAGGCAGACATTAAAAAAAATATAGCCCACAGAAGCAGAAAAAATAAATCTAATGCATCCATGACAACAGACTTTGTTCATTTTAATCGTTAGATTCCTACACTTGGACCTGGCCAGCTCCGAAACAGCTAGATGTATATCCTCCTCTCTTATTTCAACTTTCCCGCTCAATCAGCATCCATCCTAAGCTTTCTTCGTATTTGTTGGGTGAAGCAAGCCATGTATTATCATAATTGTCCCTGTTATAAATAAAAATAAATACATCTCACATGCCTCTACACTTGTAATTTTGTCTGTACACTGCGTTTGGTCAAGTTATAACCCATTTTATAATGAAGGTCAAGTTCATCAAGTTTGAAATATTCAGATTGTAAAATCTAATGGCCAAGTACCGTAACAGATATTATATAAAGTTGATGAAAAGGAAATTACAGTTCAAATTGGCAAGAATTCTCAGTAAACTTATCAATAGATAGCCCGCTGACTGATCACCAGCTGCAGAACTCTCACTGGGGGTAGTAGCACCAGAAAATGTTTTCCTTCTCCTTTTATTATGTCCTGCCAAACGGCGGCGACAGCTTCTCTTCCCCTCATCGAACTCTTGAAGGAGGTGAAATCTATAATGGAAAACGAAAGCATCAAGATATAAGCAACTAGTGATGTTTTTACAAAGATAAATTTCTTACTGGCAGCATAAATGAGGATTATCCTAGTATCTATATATATATATATATATATATATATAGTGTGTATGCACCAAGTAGCACATGCTTGTGACCAACCTGGACATTAACTAAAGAAACCTTCATTACATATATCAATCTGCAGATTTATTAAAATGAAGCAACATGAAAAATAAGAGCTTTTCAGTGGGGCATGTAAAAGTTTCACCAATTAATATAGCCTACATGTTTCAAAACCAACAAAAAACGATGTTTCATCATTGAACTTGCATTAAATTGCATAAATTTCCCCCGTTCCTCTGACTCCAAACCTTTCATTATGGCATGGAATAGAAAAAACAGAAAAAAAAAATCCCAGAATTGTGCATTTAGGGGCTTAATGGCTCCCCTTTCTGCACAGACACAAAGAAAGCCACACCATAAGCTGACGCACTAACTCCTAGGATCTAGGTTTGACTAATGTAAATATAGGATGTGATGCATAAATAATCACATAAAAATTGCAGCCGCGAACTCTGAGTTTAGGTAAAGTTTAGTATATTTTGATGAAAAGCAGAAAATAAGTGAAACATTAGCCCCACCTGATAATTTAAAGATCATTTAAAATCTAAACTTTTGGAAACAAATCTGAGAGCGATATAAAACCATACATTCACATTACACAAAAAAACAAAAAAAAAATTAAATTGTAGCGAGCTTAACAAAATCTCAATCGCATGCAAAAGCTAATAACTAAACATAGAGATGAGAAAAGATACAAAACTATACACGTTGTCATCAAGATTTACACCACACTCGAATAATTGGCATCCAATAAGGCATACAAGTTTTAAGAGGAAATCTAGAATTATATTAAAACAAGCATCAATTTTACAGACTTAAAGGCCTCCTTGTAATTTTTAACAGTAGCGGGGTTGGGAACCAAAAGGGAAGGCAAATCTGGTAATTTTTACGACATGATTTACAGGAGATATACAGGGAAAGTGATGAAACTAAATAGGAAATCTTAGGAGATTACTTCCACCTAAAAAGACAAACAGAGAAGCCGATAGAGAATCACCAAACACTATAACTCGGAGCCAACATCACCAAACAACAAACTAGCGGTTGAGCCAGCAACTCAAAGCACCACAATGGATCAAATGAATGCAACACAGATTTTAGAGAACAGTACCCATTCTAAATAGAATTATTACCTCAGACACATTTTATTGAAATAAACTAGAAAGCATAAACAACAATATAGAGACAACTAAATCAATTTCAAAATACACGATTTGTATAAAAGATGAGTATAAACTTTCAAATTTGCTAAATAAAGTAAAGCCAATTCAAAAGAAATTACTAAATAAAGTTAGCAGCATGTGAATGACCTATTTGATGTGACATCCAAGAAAATAAGCATAAGCTTTATTTGAACTATTTAGGGTTTGAACTCGCCACCAATGAAAACATGCATCTTCTGTCATGGCCATAGTTGTTGCATCAAGGCGTATGTGTTTTATTTAGAGTGGTCATGATTTAGTTATCATACGTTCTAATTATGCCATGCCCATTGTCATCTTTATGTCTATTAAAAATGTTCAAATTAATTTTATTTTATTAGGACTAAGATATGTTGTTTCATTAAAGCCTTAGGATTTATCTTATTTTCCTCTTTTTTTCAAACAATAACAACAACAAGCCTTTATCCCACTAAGTGGGTCAACTACATTGAATCCTTTTTTCCAGTTCAACTAATTGAAATAAGATAGTTTTAATTAATACGAGAAATACACATTTAAAAAAATTTAACATTTTGCACATGCCTTTCATAGACTGAGTGACGACACAATTATGAGACAATATGATGATTGTGTACAACAAAAGGACATCATAAATAAAAGTGTACCAAATGGAGCCTTGTTGTAATTATTACCTAAATTATCTTAATATAAGTAGGGTTGTATATTAGATGGGTAAATAAAATGGAAAAATGAGATGATTCTCTATCATGCTTCTCTCATTGTACCCACAATAATCCCCTTGATTTCGGGATCTTAATATGGGCCTAAAATAATAAGTTTAGATATGGTTTTCATATAAAACAACAAGAAAGTCAAAATTAGAGTTTATTTCAAGTTTAGGATAATCAAAACAAATTACACCATTGAAGTCATACAAATAGGACTTCCAACCACAAATTACGCTAAAATAAGGCAAAATTCAAGCCAAATCTGATGAGGACATCGTCAGAGATTTCGACACATGTACCATCAGGAGATGCCAGAGAGCGACGGCCACGATCATGAGTTGTATTTTATCATTTTTTGTAGTAGTTTATTTTATTTTATGTTTTTCCGCTTTTGCCCTTGTGGGTATTTAGTCGCTATTGTAGCCCAAGGGGCATTTTAGTCTTTTGTTTTCTTTGTCATTTGGTGGCCTATATATATGGTCATTTTCTCATGTAATAGTAGTTTTGATGAAATGAAAATTTTATTTTGAGTTTTCTTTGTGAGTTCACCCTCCTCGATCTCTTAATGAGTTCGTAGGAGAAGCTATATCTGTTTGTGAGTTCTAGGTTTCCTTTTCTATTATTTTCCTTTTAGTTCTCTTTTTTTATCCCTTCATTGGCTCGGAAATTTGGGTTGAAGTATTTGTAGAAGATTGGATTTCATTCCTCGGATCCTTAAAATTTTCTCTACCCGTGCCCTTCACCTGCTCTCTGCCGCGGCCCCCTGCTGGCTTGCCCAGGTCGCCGGTCCGAAGCCCAAGCCGCCGACCAGCCCCAACCCGCCGGCCATGATTCCCTCATGCCGCCGCCTCCTTTCCCCCCCCCCCCCCTTTGAATTTCAAATCTGAAATTCTGGGGCTTCTTGAGCCATTAATTACTTCCTAAATGGTTTCCCTAAATCATGCCCTCAATTTAATTGGATTTTAAATTTCGAATTTGAAATTTGAAATCAATCTAATTGAATGTGTTTAATTTAGGAATCTCTTCCCAAATAAAAACTGAAGTTTTAATTTCAGATTTTATTAAAAATCCTGAAATTAAGACTAGTGGTCCCCACCTACTTAAAACCTCAACGCCACCCCACCTCCTACATGGCCAGCCCCTTAATGGCCGCCTCTCTCTCCTAATCACCTTAATAGCTCCACAAATTCAGCCCAAACCTTCTCCCCATTGCCGCCCCTCTCTCCCTCCTTGGATTAATTTGAAATTCAAATTAAATCCCTCTCCAAAACCATTAAAATCTGAATTTTATTCAGATTTCCTGCATTTGCCTCTTAGCCCCCACCATAGCCGACTTCCACCCTCCTCTTTTGCTTCAACAAGTGGTCGGCTCAAGGGCTCAAGAAGAGAGTTCACCACATCCATGGACGGCCGATCCCGACATCAACCACGGCTCCGTCTTTGATGATCAAGGAAGAAAGGATAAGACGTTGGATGCTCTTTAATCATCCCATGGACTACCCGCCACCGGCTACCACTCCACGGACTACACTTTGTGCGCCATTTGTCTCCTAGTGGCATCGCTCGGTTGCTCTCAATCTTCCTCCATTAAAAGTGCCACCAACAAGAGAGTGAGTGAGAGACCCAAGGTGAAAAGTTCTATTTGTTAATTGTGGAATATTGTTTCTCTCCATAACATTACTATCTAATTCTATGTTGTCAATTTGATATTGTCCCATTAATCTAGTTGTAACCACATGCCTTACTTAATTTCGACTTGATAATTCTGAGAACTTAATTTGGGTAAGCATTAATTCTATAACTAGCAAAGCTTTAACAATCTTATATTAAAATCCCCAAGCAGTTCTTGTTTCCATGCATTACGTTTCACATCAAAATCTCTTAAAGAAAAAGGCGACCAATGAAGGAGGAGTTTAAGGGGATCAACATAACTCTCCACATTTCACTCCACAATAAATTTCACCTCCTGGCTGCCCAAATGACTCAACAAAATATTAACTTAAATATTTTCAAATAATGTGGCTTTCCATGTATGAACTATCTTATAGTTCTTAGTTTTATGAAAATATTTTGATTATGTAGTATCTTGATTTCTTTATTAAAGAAATGGATGGCCAAAAATATAGCTTAAAATTATGATTAATTCAATTGAATACAAATTCAATTTATTTAACATTAGTTCCTCTATTTTATCATACCTATCTCCTTTGAATCCTGCCAGCTGCAAGTCCAATGAGTAAAAGTCGTATGCTTCTTATCCCCTCCCTAATTTTTGCATATAGGTATTCAGCCAAGAGCAAGAATTCAATAGACCTAAAATCATAGCTATTGATTGCACCCATTTAGAGAAGGAAGCTGATACTTATATTGGTGTTTGTTGTCTTTTTGCATTCAAAGGATCAAATTCTTCATCATAAAAAGGCTAAAACCAAAGAATATTAAACCTTGAGAGCGCTGAAAGAAATCCAAGAACAAGATAGATCAGCAAGATAAAGACCTAAGAGAATTCTAAGGTGACTCATCATTTAGCCTTATTATCATCTATCTTGGAAAGCTGATGTGATGTGAAACGTAATGCATGGAAACAAGAACTGCTTGGGGATTTTAATATAAGAGTATTAAAGCTTTGCTAGTTATAGAATTAATGCTTACCCAAGTTAGGTTTTCGGAATTATCAAGTCGAAATTAAGTAAGGCATATGGTTACAACTAGATTAATGGGACAATATCAAATTGACAACATAGAATTAGATAGTAATGTTATGGAGAGAAACAATAATCCACAATTAACAAATAGAACTTTTCACCTTGGGTCTCTCACTCGCTCTCTTGTTGGTGGCACTTTTAATGGAGGAAGATTGAGAGCAACCGAGCGATGCCACTAGGAGACAAATGGCGCACAAAGTGTAGTCCGTTGGAGTGGTAGCAGGTGGCGGGTAGTCCATGGGATGACTAGAGAGCATCCAACGTCTTATCCTTTC